CTGCAAGGAAAAGACGCACAAAGCAAACATTTTGTGGGATGTCAATTAGCCACGACATTCATGCCTGGCCTCTCTCTGCTGCCTGCCATGCCAGATGCTCGTGTCAGAAGGGCGTTTTAGCCTGCACAGCGAGGAAGGGAGATGTCACAAGTCGCAGCAAGCTCGCTTCTGCGGAAGGAGCATGGGCAGGTGTCTCCAGTGGAGAAGTGAGGATTTTAGTTGTGGTTCAACCACAGCCCTGCTCTCTGTCCCTTTGGCAATTCACTTCACTTCACCGTGGTTGAGTGTGTCCGCCTGCAAAACGGGTTGTGATACTTCTCTCTCAGGGAGGCTGTTCGGGAACATTGGCCGAGCACTTTGAGATCCCCTGTGAGAGGTACTAGGAATATGCACTGAAAAGTGGGTCTTTATTTACCATCCTGAGAGTTGGTTTGTTGTAATCTGAATGCTTCTCCCTTGCCCCCCTCCTTTCCTTTATATTGCTTGCTTATTCCTCTCCATTGAAGGCCACGACTTCTCCATGAGACACAGCATATATCTATCACAGTATATCTATGTCTGAGCATCTGCATACAAAACTAATGCAGAGCAATGAGGAAGTATTTGGGCATGAAAATATATTTTCTTCTTTTGTTTTAAGCAATGGTATGAGTAGGAGTATAAGGATGCTTCTTACGCCGTTGTAAGAATACAGGTTTCCCTCACTTTATGCGGGTTCTGTATGTGCAAATTCACTCTTATGCAATGACCCTTTTTATACAAAAAATCCATTCTATGCAAGGTCGATTCACTCTTATGCGATCGGTGTGGTGGAAGCCGCAGTCCGTGCTTTGTGCGGTGCATTGTGGAAATGATGCCACAGGCGGAGGAAGACAAAATTATTTGGTGGGGCTGAGCCAGGTGGTGGTGCCCGGGCTGGGCTGCAACACCGGCTCCTGCAGTCCAGCCCGGTCTGGCCCCATCAGCGCTGCGCCCTGGGAGCCATGAAAGCATCCGGTAGCAGCACCTGTGCCCGGTGCTCAGGGACCGCCACAGCTGGTGTCCATGCTTCTGGAGCTGCAGCTGTGCTTGTGTGCACTGTCTGCTGTTGGTGAGTATACCAAAATTGTCTTGTAAAAGTGGTAGAAACGAGTCTCGGGGTCAGTATAGTCGAGGTCTTGGAAGGTATCCCTATTTGTTACATTGTAAAGTGGGTTCCCTTTATGTGCATTGGAGTTATGCGCCCTTTTCCAGGAATGCATGTACAGCATAAAGTGAGGGAAACCTGTATTTTAAAGCTACACGATGGCATAAGGAGCAGGGTAATACTCACACGGCTCAAAATAGTCAGAATGAAGTTGCTCTGCTACTGTCTATTCCCAGTGCCTTGCCCCCCAGCAAACGTGTACAACCACCACTAGCCATGCTATTTAGTGCCCATGCTGCGTGTTTTACTTTCAGACCTGGTTTTATGCCTCGTCTGATTAAACCTCCCATCACCCCTGTAAGAGAGGCATCCTTTCGTAGGTTGGGCATCTGAGGTGCAGTAGAGTTAAGTGTCTTGCTCACAGTCAAGGAAGGGTCCCATAGCCCCCCATAGCAAAGGAGCCAAGGACCTGAAGCCATTAGGTATAAGTGAGCTGGTCCAGGTCCACAGGGGACTGCAGCACATGGAGGGAAACAGTTCCCGTCAACAGCAATAACGCTGACAAGTGGAAAGTTGCTCCAAAGGCTTACACCCTTGCAGGACTTTGAGGCCTAAGGGGCTTCAGTAGGCTGACCATAAAGGCTGAATCCCTAGGGTGATCTATGGATCAGTTATTTTAGGCCTCCTGAACCTCAGCAAAGACTTGAACTGAAGACCCAACAGTGACGACGGTGCCTGATGTAAGGAAAACTAGCAATCTGCATGGAAGTCTAGCTGCAGCAAGAAAAAGGCACTGGGAGGTCAGCCTGTGTATATTTAGGGGCTGGAGCATCTCTGTGAGCAGCTGCCTTCATGAAAAGTGGGTTTGGTTGTACCAGCGTGGCGCCCTGCCTATATGACCCTGTATGCAGTGCACAGAACAACAGCGACTGGGTCACCCCTGATGAGCTCCGCTGATGCCAGGAGGGTTACGCCAAGGCTGGAGTAGATCTGCGAAGGGTAAATGAATGATTAGGCTGTATCTTTAATAAGATTACTCAGAACCGGCATGGTCATATGACTCATCAGTGGCCATCTTGGAGATCTTCCAAAAGCATCAAACAAGCAAAATGGGACTGAATCAGCTTCTGCATCCAGACTGCAAGTACCCACTGTATCTGTCCTTCTAATACATGGCTACAGCGATATCTGTGGGTTAGTAGAGAGGCTTACTGCCTTGCATGTGCATAGCTCGATGATTTAAGAAAACTAGCTGTGGCTATATCCGAAGGGCACGATGCACCTCTTGCTAAATGAAGTGCTTCGTAGGACAGCACAGCTGGCTTTTCAAACTGGTTTAGAAGAGCCCTTGTCTAGAGCATCAATCAATGAGAGCTGCGTGTATGTGAAAACCTGGTTCTGGGAAGATGTGGAAAACCTATTTTTTTTGTCTTTCGTTGTGGATTCCCCTGCTCTCAAGTAGCTTTGTCTAATGTAACTCCTCATCTCCACAGACAAAGAGGAATCCCTTTTAAACCTGACTTTGCAGCCACCTTTGGTGTCTCACGTTTCCCTTAAGAGTTTGCTCTCCCTGGGCCTGGCAGAGACCACGCCTAGAGGTTGGGTTTGTAGCAAGCACTCGGTGGTCGGTGGTGCAGGTGCAACCCTTGCTTTCCTCTGCCTCACCACTTCCTCTGTTCAGGTGAGGCGGGCGCAGGGTAAGACCGCCTCAATGCTTAAGAGGTGATTAAACAGAGGCCAGAGGTCCCTGATATCCTCATTGCCGCGGCAAGAGAAAATGACAAGTGAACGGTGGCTTTCAAACTATCTCCAGACCTGTGCATTCGCAATTTGTAACCTGTGCAGCATGCTGCTGATCAAAAGCATTTCCGAGTTAATAGGGGTGGGCTGACCACTTTCAATTCATGAGCTGACTGAGGTGTAACGCTCCTGCTTTTTAGTTCTTCACGGCAAAAAAGCGTGCTTGGCTTCCTCTGTGTACTCTGCCCCACAGGCATGCTGGCTTCTGGAGGGGGCTCCGTGCTGAACCCCTGAGCTAGGAGAGGGGAAGGGGACGTGTGATGGCAACTACTTGAGCATTTGTACGTGTTCAGCAATGTGGGGACGCTCTTGTGGGTAACACAATGGCTTTGCTGCTTTGTTCGTCATTGAGGGTTCCCCACTGGGCCAGTTGTCATCTTCTGTGCGGCCCGTCATGTGCCTTGCTAAGCCCGGAGAATTATTTTTGCATGCAGCTCTGCTCTTAGTGCCTCTCCCCATGCTAGCCGGGCACATCATTAATTCTGCACTCATGCAGGTGGGGTTCACTCGTGGTTCATTGCAGCAATTTGTTGATGCAGAAATGTGAAACCATGCCACTGAGGTGGTAGGAAGCTTTCTGCTTTAATGAGATGAAGGTAGGTACATTGGGCATAGAGACCCCTAGAGACAGCTCCTTAGAAGCCTATGGAAGACGGTCTTGTGGGTAAAGCACTAGACTGGCACCCACGAGACACGGTTTTGGTTTCGAGTTTAGCCAGAAATCGGTGACCTTAATCATTGGATGCCTCAGCTCATAACAATACTAATCGACCTTGGGTGGGGTGCTCATTAAACACGCTGTTGGGCCATGCACATCGCAGGAGAGAAGTCCCAGTAACACTGGCTTGATTCTTCTTCCGTCGGATAGTAATGCTGTGGACAGGTTTTGCTGTGTTTGGGTCATGGGGGTGACACCTTGAGAGCTGAAGCCACCTCTTTCCTGCATGGCTATGCTAGAGCTCACAGCACATTTTTCATCTAAATAAAAGTAGGGGCAAAAACACCCCGCCCAGCCCTGCTCATTTACTGTGCACAGGTTGTCTGCTCCACTCCGGTCCAGCAGCGGCTGAATCTGAGCGGTGCTGGAGAGATGTCTCTGGTTTGCAAGATGCCGGGAGACCCTTGTGGTCGCTAGATGCTATATAAATGTAGCGATTTATGATGCTTTTATTGTAGCGGCTATTTGATGGGTCTGCCTCGCATTTAAAGGCCAGTATCACACAGGCAGGTCTTGGGTAGTTGAGAGTCACACAGTGTCTCTTGTTCCAGGCATGTTTTATAAGTACCAGGTTGCCACGCTAACCTGGTCATAAAACCAAATGGTATCCCAGCACTTCCTTAAGCAGCATGTCAAACACCCAGCGCCCTCAGTTATTTATGGGGCTGGTGTGGCATATTTAGATTCAGCTGAATCTCAGCTTGCATTTAAAAAAACAAAAAAAATGATACATTTCTGGCTTTGGGGATGGCAAAAAAGACAGGAAAAAGAAATCTCCCAAATATGAGCAGTATGTAACAGCAGGGAATTGTCTTCCGGAGCCTGCAGGCGGACTGAACAACAGCCCTGGACACGCAGTCCCCTAACCGTTCGTGGCATGTGGTGTCGACTCTGGTGCCTAATGATGGCAAGCCATGTGTTGCCGTGATCTTTTCAGCCCTGATTGACCTCTCCGGTGGGATGGGTTTTGAGAAAGGAATGAAGCCCACAGGGTATCTAGAAGATGCTGTAAGAAAGGACATGCAGAATACCTTTTCCTGCTAGGACTGCCAGCGTAGAGGTGGCTGGTGGTTGCCTGTCAGGTTTGACAGCTTGTAGAGATGCACAAAGCACTGTGCCTGGGCACTGGAGTGATGTAATATTAATACGTGTTTCCAGACAGCATGCCGTACATTAAAGCTCTTGTGCTTGCTAATAATAATAATTATAATAATAAAGAGCACCTTATTGCTGATGGCTTCTGGGATTTTAAAGGAAGCAACAGCTTTCACAGAAAGTTTCTGGACTCGCCTGCCTTGGGGGCCTGGCAGACCCCGGGGCTCAGATGTGGGGTTGCTCTAGCCACGGTGGGGGTAGTGTGCAAGGCTGGCTGAGCCACTGCCCTGCTCCAAGGCGGTGGCCCCCCTACTGCGGCTCGGCATCGGGTGCTGGCTTCGTGCTGTGCCGTCCGGACTGGACTGTGACGAGAGCGCTCCACTCGCTCCAGAAGCCCTTCCCATCCGCGTGCTTGCAGCGAACCTGGAGGCGGTACGTGGTGCCTGGTGTCACGTCCTCGAGGGAGTAGCTGATCTGTTCACCCACATCGGGTTCTCTCTAACAGGGAGGAAAAAACAAGGACTATTTTGAGGACTTTCGCTTCTCTTCCCCAGAGGACACTTCCGTTTCTCTGTATGCCTCGGTTACAAGGAATAACAGAGAGGAAGGAGGGTAATAGTAACGCCCAGCATCTCCCCGATGCTTCTCAGGCTTTGCTGTGCGTACAATGGAGGCAGAGAGAAGTGATATGCCCTAGGCCTAGGCGGCATTGCTGTCAGAGGCTACTATAAGAGCTCAGGTGCTCTCAAGGCCATGCCCTGGGCTTGCTTCACCAGGCAACCGAGTTCAAGACCTCAGGAAACGAGCGTGTAACTGGAGAGGCTTGCTTATTAAACAGAGTCTGACCTCTTCTCAGACACCACTGCTTGCAATAGTGGGGAAAGGCTGTGCAGTCACAGTCTGGCTTACAGAGGAGGTAGGCAGGAAAAGAAAGCAACTCCAAACTATGGTGCAAGAAAAAAAGGCTTCATTTCCTTTGTTTACGGGGCCTCCAACCTGGCTGGCATTGTACAGAGCACACAGAGTCACCTAGCGGCAGAATAATATGCTGCAAGCACTGAGATCCTGACAAAACAATCAAGTCGGACCACGCACGTGGCAGCCGGCCCCCTCTAGTAACGGTTCTCGAAACCGGTGTCACCTACTGTGCTTGTCATATGTCTGCAAACAAAACGGTGGGAAAGGCTAGCTAGGACCAGTGGCCGGTCAGTGGGGATTAGTCAATGGAGCCGCACCTGTATGCGGGCACCCGGCCTAGCCTACGGTGTGCGAGATGGGTGCGTCAAAGCACGCTACTTTCTGGTGACTCTCGAGGAGCTTTTACACCAGCGGAAGCACAACCTGCTCGAGGCGCGGTGCTGACACACTCGTGCTCTGGCTGGAGTGGAGGACTAGGGAGAAGTGGCTGCCCACTGCCCGCACTCTCTCTTTGCTGGCCGGGCTGGGAGAAGAGTCTTTTCTTGCCCGTGTAAGGCAGCTTTCTGGCCTGCAATGGCACCAGAGGGGCAGGAACAAAAGCTGTTCTCCTCATTGGAAACGTAAGCTGATTTTGTCTTCTTTGTCTTTTTGCTTTTCTTGTACAAGAATCATTGAGTTAAGGGCTGGTTTGCTTGCCTAGCCCATCCTCCTGGCCAAACACAGGACTGTCTCCAAAAGGGGCTGAGATTTTCAGTCCTTTCCAGAGCTGTATGATCACGAGTCAATAATCTAAGATGCTGACTGCAGAGGCGGATCCATTACCCGTATATGCCGAATGCAGTCAGGAGAGCTGGGCAGGGGTGAGTTTGCTCATGAAGTTTGCTTTCCTTGTGACAGAGCACGTCTTGGGGTCCAACACAGTGTCTTCTCCCCTGTTTTCATTCTGCATTCGCATTTCATGGGAAAGGTACAGACTGACATGGCTCAAGGGTTTTTCCAACCGGCTATGGTTACCCAGGGTTTGTGTGAGAGAAGCTTCTCCTGTGTTGCATTACAAGCATAGGTGGTGTAAGCCCTAAAGACAGAGAGAGACTCACCTTCCAGTCCCTGCTCCCCTGCTCCCAGTACCGGAGTTCAAACACCAATGGGTAAAAGGAGGCAGCGATGCCCGGCGGGTACTGCCATTCCACGGACAGGTGGGTGCCAAATCCCATCGCGGTCAGGCCTGTCGGCGGTTCTGTTTTGGCTGTATATTAAAAAAAAAAATCTGATAAAGGAATCAAATCATTTGTGCCTGTGCTGGACTTGAGCATAGTGGGTCTCTGTATGTCCTGCGTGTGTTTGCATGTGATCAAAAGTTTGCTTGTGGTCCAGGGTCACATTTTCAGATGTGTCTAAGAGATTTGGATGCCCTTTTTCCATTGAGGGCAAGTTGGGGCCCTCAAGGCCCGCTTGCTTTTGACAATGGGACTAAGTCCAGGGTCCCTTAGACATCCCTGATGAGTTGACCCCTAGTCTCTACAGCTAATGACAAACAAGAGAAGACCACTCCAAAATGTTACTAGTATCTTTAGTTTAACAGGGTGATTCTCCATGTAAACTGTGGTGCTCATCCTGGCAGGCCGATGGTGCAACGATGGGTACAGAGAATGAGCTCCCCTTTGAATTTCAGCTTAAGCAGGGCCTGGGAGCTTTGTCATTTAAAAGCAAACCAGGAAGCAGCTGGCAGTAAAATGACAAGGGACTGCCCTGTCTTGGCCAGCAGCATTTCTGACATTGCTGTCCTAAGACGTCGGGCAGCTTCCTTGCTTACCCTGGAAGTCCTGCCGGGGTAGGTCAGGCCCTGCAGTGCTACAGGCATTGTAGGGACTCCCCTCTTCTGCTTTCCAAATACCCACCAGAAATATGAACTGACGATGAGCACCAGAAACCACCAGACTTGGGCGAACCCTTCCTAGGCTTTGACTCCCCATGTTCCTAGTCAGGCAGTGGCACAAGCCCACATAATTCGCTTCTCCTGCTTGAAAGCCCAGTTTTGGGAACGCGGTGACACACCAGCCTGACTTCGCTGGGACACGAGCATGGACTCAGATATGCTCAAACAGGTTTACTTGGACGGGAGCTGAGCAAAATCCCAAAAAACCTCGCTTGTGAATGGGCAAGACCCCCTCCATGGGGGTCCTGCGTCTCGTGCTCGGGGGCAGGTGCTGATGTCGTTCTTGTAGGTGCAATAAGGCAGGAAAGCATCGTGACTGAGTCATCTGCTGTGAGCATTCATAGCTTTGCATGGGGAGAACTAGCAGGCCTCCCTTTTGCAATCTGGTGGCAGCTTTTTTTTTTTTTTCCCTCCTTCAGGGGCTGCTGTGTTTTCTGTATTCTCCAGTTTCTGCTTGTTTTATAACCTTGATTGAAAAAGGGCAGAGGTTGGCGGCTGATGGGTTAGAGAAGAGGTGTTCGGGTCAGGGGAGGAGACCTCTCCCCCATCCGCTGAGCAGCACAAGCTGGTTTCGGCACAGAAGTACCCAGTTCAGTCCCTGGCAGAAAGACTCGGCTTCTAGCACACGTAGTGTGTGTGTGTGTGTGTGTGTGTGTGTGTGTGCGCGAGTCTCTCCCCACCCCCACCCCCCCACAGACCTGGCACTGAATCAAGTCACAGGAACCAGCCTAGGAAAAGGCTGAGCTGTTTCACTCTGCAGAGGAGGGGGATGGGTGGCGCATGCTGCTGAAGGCTGAACAAAAAAATATATGAGGCGGCTCATACAGAAGAGAAGCTGGCAGCCAAAAGTGAGGGATGGGAGGGAAAGCAGCGCCAGTGTCAGGGCGTTTCAGCCGCTACTGCCTTTGAAAGAGGTCCCTGACATTCAGGAGCTGCCACCCACAATCTCCCTTGTAGCATTACCGCGCTGTCCAGGGGAAAAAATAGGGGAAGAAAGGGATCTCCTAAGGGGCTTGTGTGCACAGCACATTTCTCAGTGTCAAGGGACTGCGTGAGGGCTCGGCAGTGCCCTGCATGTATTGCAATACCATTTGGTCCTGCCTTGGTAGCTAGCAACCATCTGTGTTAGAATCACATTAATGAATCACGTTACAGCCCTTTAAAGACAGGGCTTAGGCACCTCTCCAATATGGCTGGTGTTAAAACACAGCCCCTGAAGTGGGGGAGCTCACGGTTCACATAGACTGATCAGACCGCTGCGCCCACTCCCGCCTCCCAGGCACCCAGAGTCTGAGCAGAAGCGGCGAGGAGCCCGATCCTTTCTTTCTACGGTGCCTGCCCGCCTCTCCCATGGCGGGGGGGGG